CTACTACCACCACTACCACTGCTGCTACTACTAGTATTACTACTACTGCTGCTACTACTAGTACTACTACCACTGCCGCTGCTGCTACTACTACCACTACCACTGCTACTACTAGTACTACTACTACCACCACTACCACTGCTGCTAGTACTACTACTACTACTACTACCACCACTACCACTGCTGCTGCTACTACTAGTACTACTACTACTACTGCTGCTGCTGCTGTCCTTCTCACTTGGAGTATAGAACATTCGTGAAACGCTATGAGGAATGCCAACAGCACGTGGTGTTCCAAAGCGGTCACACATCCAAACACTAGCCACGTCCAATGTTGCATAACTTCGGTGATCGGACGAGAAACGGCGTTCCCAACATGGTATGACTGTTGGCCATTCGTCTCTTAATAAGCTAAATTTACAAATGAAAACTTCATAATATAAATTAGGAATGAATAAATCACTATAGCCGTGTTGCTGGTGTGAAGATATAAAATTGTGCTTCTCCCCCCCCCCATATTATGAGGAGTCTGACACCGTTTCTGCCAACAGTACATCTATACGGAAGGGAGCATTAAGGGCTGGACATAATGAGAGTTAACTGGCATCTCGCTTTCTGGGCCCTTACCGGAAAAAGCGGACGTAAAGTCTATAAGAATAATGTTGCAGACCCGGAAAAGTAATATTAGTTGATCTGCTACTAAACCGCAAGCAGCACAGGCCCGTCTTTGCAAGCGCAATTCAGTCCAGAACAATTCCATTATTTATTTATCTCTACATTTCGCAGCTTTCTCTAGTGAATGCGAACATATGGACAATCAGACGTACATGAAATGTGATATTAGATTCCTTTTGCAAGAAAATTGAATAGGAAACTGCAGTTTGTATAGCACTTAAGATTTTAAAATCGGTTTCATTGTACGTAAAAATTATTTTAGAAACACTACCCAGAGGCTATGTAAGCCGACTGCTGGAAGACAGATGAAATATAACAAGCTGAAAGAAAGATATGAACCATTTATTGCTACAATTTTATGACTTCTCTCTAAAAATGTCCACAACCGTCGTACTTTTAAAACACTGTATACATTTCCAGTGTGATGGTATGCGTACAGTTCCTGACAAAACCATTCTCAAATTGACACTATGAGCGTAATACAGAGACAATATACGAGTAGAGGATTCTTTTGTAAATTTTCGTTATGCATATTTCTGAACCGTGATGGGAACAATTTCCACCCTTTACATAACTCGATATTTTTAAAAGTTAACTTACTCTGCGATTGTACTATTTTACATTTGCAAGAAGAGCATCTAAATGTAGCATGTAGACAACTGTTACGCAACGTCGGCGAGATAAGAAATTATACAACCTTGTTTCCAAGGCAACAATTTGATGCAACAGTGAGAGTACCGAAGTTCGTTCATGATTGTTGCGAAATAAATCTCAAAATATAAGTTAGACTTAGTGGGAGTACAGGAGGTGAGATGGGACAGAGGTGGCACGGAAAGAGCAGGCGAATATACATTTTTTCTACGGAAAGCGGAAAGAAAATCATCAATTCAGTAGAAATGTTCTTGTACAGAAGAGAATCGTACCGGCAGTTAAGAGGGCAGGCCGGTCACTGTGGCCGCATGAACTGTCTTAGCTCGCTCGAAAGCTAGGATCGCAGGTTCTTTACGTGCGTTTATTCTGCTTGTGTTGTCCTGTGTGCAGGTAACGACCTTGCGACGGGCTGATCTCTCGTCCAAGGAGTTCTACCGTCTGTGTAAAAGAAATTACGAAACTGAAGAAGATGCCAGGGCCCAACAAAAGGCTGTAGAGCCGTTGATGAATGAATGAATGAATGAATGAATGATTTAAAACAGCGGAGTTTGTTAGTGACAGGATGTCGTACATAAATAATAAGAGGTCGCTGGTGAGATATCGTTGTTCTGAATGTTCATAACCCAAGCGAGGATAACATTGATGGCATGAAGGGCAGCTTTTAAGAGGAACTAGAGCAGGCATTCAATGAATTCCTTAAATACCATATGAAAATCTGGTTAGGAGATTTAAATGCCAAAGAAGATGGGGAAGACATTTTCAAACCAACAACTTGGAATGAGAGTTTACACGAAATTAGTAGAGGTAATGTAGTTAGAGTAGTAAACTTTGCCACATCAAAAAATCTGTTTGTCAAAAGTACAGTGTTCCCACATCGTAACATTCATAACTTTACTTTGAAACCTCAAACAGTTAAATTGACAATATATTGATAGAGAAGAGTTGGAAATCAAATGTTCTTGATGTCCGATCGTTGGTCTAGAAGTAGACGCAAAGAAAACTAATAATTATACACTTACGTTGCTGTCTCGTCACCAGAATGTAGGGCTAAATCAAAATATAAAGACGGCCAACACATTCTTTGATCTTTTTTTTTTATTTATTACTTAAATAGCCGTCAGAATTACAGTATTCTATAAGCTATTGTGATAAAATTGGGCTAATAAGCCCGCCTATGACAGGATGAGGATCCTTCAACCGAAGGAGCCTCTGTTTTTCCACTTGAGGTCAATTGGAAGACGTCTTTCCAATCGTCTGTTTTTGGGTTCTTCCAGCAGCGGCTGCATCAATGGATTGATGTGCGTCTCTAGTCGATCATGGTGTTTGCTGCTACGCTCTTGGATTACATCAGAGTTGATTGAGATGCCAAGGTCGTGGTGAAGAGTGTCGCTCGATACATGCCGTGGTGCATCTGTCATTACTCGAAGTATTTTGGACTGGGATCTTTGGATGATGGCGATACTCGACTTTCTGGCACAGCCCCATAGGTCCATATGGGCTTTATCACAGTATTGTATACCAGGATTTTGTTTTCCAGGTTCAGATGGGATTTTCTTCCTAATAGCCAGTATAACTCTTTAATTTTCGCATCGATGTGTTTCCTCTTTTTGACTATGTGTTCTTTCCAATTGAGTGTTTTATCTGAGTGTATTCCCAGATATTCTTTGAAAATGTGGTACAGTTAAAATATTTAGGAAACAACAGTAACACATCAAAATTTGATTCATGAGGAAATTATGAGAGGATTGGATTCGGGTAATGCTTGCTACCATTCAGTCCAGAACCTTATGTCTTCTCGTCTGTTGTCTAAAAACAAAAACAAATACAAAAACTAGAATATACAAAACTACAGTTTCGTCTGTGGTTTTGAATGGATGTAAAACTTAGTCTCTGACATTAAGGGAGGGACATACACTGAGGGTGCTTGAGAGCAGGGTGTTGGGGAGAATATTTGGACCGAAGAGAGATGAAGTGATAGGAGGTTGGAGAAAACTGCATAATGAGGTGCTCCATAAGTTGAACCCCTCTCCAAGTATAATTAGACGGATCATGTCAAAGAGGATAAGATAGGGATAGCATGTAGCACGAATGGGGAGAAGAGGAATGCATAGAGGATATTGGTGGGAAAGGAAGAAGACAACCAGGAAGACCAAAACATAGATGGGTGTGAAATAATAAATGGTTGGGGTGGTATGGACTAGATTGATCTGGCACAGGATAGGGACCAGTGGATGGCACGGTGATTTACCTTCTGGTTCCATAAAATGCTTGGAAGTTTTTGAGCACATGCACAATTGGCAGCTTCTCAGGAAGTGCTCAGCTCCATGAGTGAGTAAAGGAAAAGAGAGTTATTAGTCTGTGGTAGGCGTGTTTAAGGTACTAGTGAAATGTCTGAAACTTGATACGAGAAAGTTGGGTGTTACTCGCGCTAAATTAAGTTTAATTAGCGAGAACATCAACAACAACGCTTCTGCATACTGTGCCCGCATTCGTGATTAGTAATTTGTCTTAGTGAGGCTATTTTTAGATATTTTATTAGGTATATACAGGGTGCCGGTCACGGTAGCCGAGCGGTCTAAGGCATGTACTGTCTTCGCTCGATTTGAAACCGGAATCGTGGGTTCGAATCCCACTCGGGGCATGGATGTCTAGTTTGTGTGTGTGTGTGTGTTTTTCTGTTTTTGTGTACAGGTAGAGGCCTTGCAACGAGCTGATCACCCGCCCAAAGAGTCCTACCGAATGTGTAAGATCTATAAAAACCGAAGTTAACGGAGAAGTTCATGGAGGTAGGCCTAGGCCCACTAAGGCCCTCAGTGCCAAGGAAAAAAAATATATATACAGAATGCCTAAACATGTATACACACTCCAACGTGAGAAATATGTGCTCTATTTATTTGTATATCTTCGGTTCAACTTCGGACATGTCCGTAGAAAACCCGTACTAAAGCACGTTACAGACGCTATCTGGGAGCCGAGATAGCGCATTCGGTATAGCGACTGGCTACGGGCTGGACTACCGTGGGGCGGAGTTCGAGTCCCATTAGGGTCAAGAATTTTCTCTTCTTCGCGTCATCCAGACCGACTCTGGGGCCCACCCATCCTCCTAGCCCTCTAGCCAATGGGTACCGGGGGCCGGCCGGGGCGTGAAGGTGACCACTATCGTCCAACTAGTACCGAGGTCAAGAAAATGTGGATCTATACATTCACTCCCCCATGCGCCTTCATAGCGTAGTGCTTAATTAGTTAAGCACAGGGAAAACTTTTATAGAGGTTATCTAAAGACAGTTTCAGAGTTAAACTGAAGATGCACCAATACATATTTTAGCAGATATGTTGTACAGTGAAGTGTGCATACATTTTCTCAGCTTCTCTGCAGATTACTTATGTTCAGTCAACACGAATAGTTGACAACTTAACTGTTTTGGAACTACTATATACTTCACGAAAACTCTCCGGTTTGCGGTCACTTTGAAATTCTGCCCTACCAACAGCTCGCTTCAGAGGCAGGGAAGGATGTCGCGCACTCTACTGGACTCTCTGCCAACTAGAGAAAAAGAACACGATTTTACCGTGCATTCTGTGCTGCTCTCTGTGCAGCTCGTTGAAACTATTTGCATAATCTAATATGTCAACAACTAGACGAACAAGACCTGTTCTTCGTGATCGTTCGTGACGCTCGTGACCAACCTAACTGCCATACCAGACTCAGTAACGGTGATTCTTTGTGTGTAGCGGTGTCTGACAGGATCATTCTTCGCCTCTTATTTTCCTTACGTACAGAGTTACGTAATTTTGTTACCTTTTAATATGGTATGGATTCACTGGTTAAATTCAATGTCAATAACGATAGGCCATAACATGTTCCCACACTAGAACTGGTGTCACAAGGTAAGTCGACACTCGTTTGTCGCCGTTGATGCAGTGCTTGGACGTGTGAGCTAGAAATATGCAGTATTTATCAGCCATGTGTCAAGTTTCGTTGCGAAATGTGTTGTCAATGCGATCACGCACAAATGAAATTTAGCAGACACTCTTCGGCGAGTTTGAATGTTTTGCTGTGTTATTGTTTATATTTCTTGCGTTACTAAAATATTATTGACACTGATTGATTCTGTCCTTGAGTTCTGGACCGTGTTGATGTGGGTAGTGTTACGAATGTTTCCGAGATACATGCCTCTGGCATCAGGGTCGAAGTGATTAGGTTGTCTCGCTTCGATCCTGTAGATTCAGCCAGTCTGTATCTCCGAAACGTCGGCAACACTGCCGATATCCACAAAGAGCAAAGACCCAAGGACAGATTTAACATGAACACTGAACCACCGTGAACGTCCAAAATCAGTATCTAAGATTAAGCGCTACAAAATTCAAATTTTTTGTTAGTGGTACATGCAGAAAAGGAGCGTGAACAATACATTATTTTACTTTAAATATTAAATATGATTTCTGAAAATAATGCACTTTGCATCTCGATAGGAATATTCTTATTTTAAAAAGCGAATCTATTCAAAATATTTAAGTATACTTTAACTTAATCCCCTTTAAATTTATTGCAGTAGAAAAGTATAAGCCGATCACAGTGGCCAGTCCTTCTAAGGCATGAACCATCTTCGCTCGCTCGAACCATGAGATCGTGGGTTCGAATCCCACACAAGGCATGGATGTTTGGAATGTGTACGTGTTTATTCTGTGTTTGTGTTGTTTTGTGTTTAGGTAGAGGCCTTGCGACGAGCTGATCACTCGTCCAAGGAGTTCTAACGTCTGTAAAAAATGATCATGAAATTGAAAATCAGAGGCCAGGGCCCAAGGGGCTGTAGAGGCAGTGAAAAAAAAAAGAAACGGCCTTGCGAAGGGCTGACCACTTGTGCGAGGAGTCCTACCGTTTGCGTAAAAAGATTACGAAACTGAAGAAGAGGCCAGGGTCCAACAAAGGGCTGTAGAGCCATTGACGAAAGAATGAGAAAATGGGGTAACTAAATCCATTCTCTAGATTGCATTTCTACCGATTTGTCATAAACTGAATTCACGCATGCGTGCTGTAACACTACCATCTCTATTGAAATACAAAGAGTGACAAATGTAAGGTAGACTGCACACCGGCATGCGTCAAGACATGTAACAATCAAGACACGATGTCTGCGACATGACGCAAAGAAAGGAGCATAGGTGAAACAAATGGGATTATGAAAACGGCCGCACACCGGTCTGAGTCATGATGCTGACGAATCATAAATGAAGCAGCGTCTTTTGTCTCGTGTCTTGATGCTTGTCTTGACGCAGTTGGTGTGCGGCCGCCCGAAGACTTCACAGTAACCGACGATGCTGGGCATAAGTCCGCGTAAGGATACCCCAATAGATGCTACACTCCGAACGACCACCTACAAGACTACACGGGAATTCTCCATATACCATATGATGATGCCTNATTAGGTAAATTGAAAAAATCCACTTCATCGGGACTCGAACCAGCGAACTTCTGGCTTCTAACATAGTGCCTCAACCAACTACGCTACCTCGTGCCCCCGATATATAGTAGTTTAACTAATTATATCTAATACCAACATAATTGGACTAAGGAGTAGATAATACCAAGAGTTTAGTTACCAAGCATAATCTTTCATGTTATATAGCCATATTTAAAATATGGATCCATATTAAAAATAAAAAGTTCAGGACCTAAGCAAAAACAATATACCTGATGATGACTCAATAAGGTCGAGACATGTGATGTTTTAAATTTTCTTTAAGATTTTAATGTAAATAATCTCTATTTGTATATTTTATAAGAAACTGTTGCGTCTGCGGATGTAAACATACTCAATGTAGAGATTAATTATAGTAGTTTGGAAGTGTGGAACAGGAGCATATCACAACATGCTACACACGGACGGACAAGACTACCAAACTGCAAGTCAAGTTGAATGAAGCCATGACTAAAAGTGTAATGCAATCTTACTGTAGTTAACAATGGTGGAAGTTACCAGCTGCCTAAGCGGCCTCCGCAGTCTAGGGGTAACGTTCCCATCTCATGACTCAAGGTACGCGGGTTCAAACCCGGCGGAGGTCGTGGAATTTTTAAGGGCGGAAAAATTCAGGGAACAAGTACTCCGGGAGGGACTTGAAGC